AAAAAATAGAAAGTGCTGGACTTTGGTTTAAAAAAATCACCTACATCAATGTGGGTTAGAGGAAATCTGGAGTAAATAGCAATTCACATAAAAAAAAAAAAAAGGCATTATTTTTTGCTTATAAACCCAACCTGAGTTAATAGTCTAAGTTTACTATCAAAGAGTGAATGCTCCCTAAGGGTGAATTACTGAAACAGGGGAGATAATATTTTCACTATGTTCTTGGATTCATGGAAACAGGATTTTAAAATAAAGTTATGTCCAGAACATCACGACTGGGAAACGAAGACTTGCTGAATAATAAATGTTTTCAGGAAAACAGAATGCCGAAGGGACGAATTTGGATTGTGAAGGTGATATATGATAGCTATATTCAGATAGTTAAAGGGCAATGCATGGTAAAGATCAGCATGAATCTAGCCCCCAAAATGTGGAGACTGATCCGGTTCCCATCTTCCCAAATCTTCATCCTTGTCACCAGCTGCCCCCAAGGCACTCTCTATCTCTTACCATAGCCACCTGGAGCTAAGTCAGAGCTCACAAGTGAAAAGGACACTATGCTTCAGACTGCCATATAGGCAGACACCAGCCACAAGTTTGGGGAGTCCACACGACACCTCAACTTTCTGACCTGCTGGCCACAAATCTGGGGTTGATTTCCCACTACTCCTTCAGGATGCCAGCCGCAAACTCAGGAGTCCACATGATACTCTTTCTTTCTGATCTGGCTCCCACTCTCCCTTCGGGTTCAGTAATTCACTGGAATGACTCATAGAATTCACAGAGATAACACCATACTTATGACTACAGATTTATTACAGCCAAAAAATACAAATGAAGGGTTGCACAGGGTGAGATCTGGTGAGATTTCCAGCGTGAAGCCTCCATGTTCCAAGGGACTCACTACTCTCCCAAGAGCAGATGTTCTCACCAACCTCTGAGCCTCCACGTTCAGGGCCTATATCAGCAAGTCCTGCATGATAGGCTACATCATGCCTCCTGAGGCCAGTTGGTGCCAGCCTCCCAGGTGAATCTTTTCCGGTCTGGCCAGCCCCTAATCTTCAGCAGAAGTCCTGAGGTGTGGCCTGGAAGTCCCAGACCACGCACCTCAATTTACTCCAAGAGTTATTTCTCAGGAATCAAGAATAATGGCCACCTAACTTAGGGTAAAGGTAGGTCGTTTACCCCACAGGCAGTTATATGAAAGTGGAAGCTAACGTCTTTTGTGTAGAACTTATGGGAGACTTTGAATCAATGTAAGAAAAGACTTCTAACAGGGGGAGTTGTCATAAAACAAAACCATTGTTTTATGAGCTAATGGATTTCCCATCCCTGGAAGTGTTCCAAGAGGGCCTGGATTGTTAGATGATTCTTTCTTTGTGTGTGGATTTTAGACTTGATATGTACAAAGGTCTCTTCCAAATCCAAGATTTTGTCTGATTAATTTCTTCCTGTTAATGGTCACTTACATCCCCTTTTTCCTGCTTGTGACATGAGACTACAAAGCATGTATTTTGATGTCTTCCTCCCTACTCTGACTTTTGTCTCACGTTTAGATGTGTTATCTCCAAATAACTATGATAAATACGTTTAATACTACTATTAATGTAATATAATACAATCTTATCATTTAGGATCCAGACAGAGAAGGACATTGGAAACAAGCTCTTATGTTCACGTTAATACTGTTAACAATAAGGTACATTTATTTGTGACTACTTTTTGAGTTCTGTTCTGAAAACAGATGCCACCAGGAAAACATTCATGAGACATATTCCTGGTCAGCGTTCACAATCAGTTATAGTTAAAGCATTAAGAGACATTGAGGATCATCTGTAACGTTCTCTCAGGAGGCACTTTGGGCTATGAAGAGTGGCTGCTGATTCTTGATTAGAGATTGTCCAGTGTCTTTGTTGCAGGTCTTTCAAGTCGCATATGTCATCATCAAAGCTGCTAACGCCCCTCGCCCTGGAAACTGGATTTTGGAGCGCTCCCTGAATGGGACCCAGTTTGCCCCCTGGCAGTACTATGCAGTCAGCGACTCGGAGTGTTTGACTCGTTACAATATAACTCCAAGACGGGGCCCGCCCACGTACAGGGCGGATGACGAAGTGATCTGCACCTCGTATTACTCCAGGCTGGTGCCCCTTGAGCATGGAGAGGTACAGTGCCCACAGTGGTGAGGTAGTTTTTCTATCAGACCCTCCCCCCAACATTAACATAGCCATCATTAACCACTCCAAATAGAGCTCTCTCAACACAGATTTCAGTGATCTTTCTTTCCTACAATTATCCAACTATGTTGAAAGTATCATTGAATGGTGTCTATTGATGATTAATTTTACAACCAATACAGTTTACCTTATTGATTTCTTCCCTTCAGGGAGGCTCCTCAGTCTTCACTCGGCTGTGATTTATGCACTCCATTAGGCTCTCCTATATACTGCCTTTCTCTGTTGTTGAAATATTAAAGAAAGGCTGAAAATGCCCCTAAAAGACAGCATGCCCAATTTTCTCCGTGAAGTTCTCCTTCTCTTTGGTGGGTGTTGGGATTGGGAGATAGCTCAGGAAGTATTCTAGCTCAGTGCTGAATACACCCAGATGTACATACTCCATTAAAGTCGGAGTGCAATTAAAACAATCTACTCTTTAGTAGCACCTGGCTTGATGAGATGAAACTACAGAAACTCTCGGAAGTGCTCCTCACAGCGGGAACTGAGCAGTGAGCCCTGGCATTGTTTCAAGAGCAGAAACTAATTAAGAGAGCAGGAATATAGGCTTTGGGGCACTTTTTCTCCACTCTCCCTTGTCTATTTATGGCATTTAGAATCTATTTCAGAGAAGTCATAGCATGTTGGTAGATATTAGATTATCCTCACCCCACTGGAGGAAGCGATCCTGTTAAAAGGTTTTCAGCAACCCCTGAGTCATGGGTATGGGTAACTTGAATAGATTGAAGATGCTTTGTGATCACAGTTGTTCACAAATTGTTCACAACTGTTACAGATTTCTACAAGAACGTAGTTCTCTTTTGATTTTAGATAGTATATTCATAAAGATTCTGTCCCAAAGTTAAACAACCAGGGCTATATTTTTGCATGCTGAGAATTGAAATGTGTTGATTTTGACGTCTTTATCTTCAGATCCATACGTCACTCATCAATGGCAGACCAAGTGCTGATGATCTTTCACCCAAGTTGCTGGAATTTACTTCTGCCCGGTATATCCGCCTTCGCTTACAGCGCATTAGAACCCTCAACGCAGATCTTATGACCCTTAGCCACCGGGAGCCCAAAGAGCTCGATCCCATTGTTACACGGCGCGTAAGTACTATGGCAGCTGTCGGGACGATTGTGAAAAGTTTATTTTGTTTAAGGGAAGTATGCTTTTCTTTTTGGCTGGCTTTTTCCCTCCTTGCTGTTACATCATTATTTTAGTGAAGATCATCACATGTAATTTGTTAGAAATGCCACCTTTATTAACAACAATAACTAATAGTAAAATACAACAATTACAGCAAAAAAAGAAATGCCGCCTTTGAACTAGACGGTGGTACTGACATCATGTCCTCAGGTCCCTTCACCTCCACCCTGTTCCCCAAATGCCGTAATGTGGCGAATGCAGTGGTCATTGTTCTTCACATGATAGTCTGTTTCCACATCTGGCCTTCAGCAGATGAAGGTTTTCATTTTCTTTTCACTTAAAGGAAAATGTAGAAATTTGACATACAGTTTGCATTCAGGAAAAGACACAGATTTTTAGGCTTGTATGGACAAACATTTTCACATCTTTTGTATAACATAGAAGTGGAATTCTGGATTTTAGGGTAGCTGTGTGTTGAATTTTTTAAGAAACTGCTAAACCTTTTGCAAAAGTAGCTACACCGTTTTACAATCAGACCAGCAACATCTAAGAGTTCTAGTTGTACCGCATGCTTTCAAATATTTGATGATGTCAGTCATTTTCAATTTAGCCATTCTAAATGAGTGTGTAGTGGCATTTCCTTATGATATTAATTTGTGTTTAATGTTGAGCATGTGCTTTTGTATATAACCAATTTTTTTGTCCATTGTTAAATTGGGTTATCTGTTTCCTTAGTACTGAATTATAAAAGGTTTTTATATATTTTGCATACAAGTCCTTTGTCAGATATATATATATCTGACCAAAAAAAACCAAACCCGTTGCCGTCGAGTCGATTCCGACTCATAGCAACCCTAAAGGACAGAGTAGAACTGCCCTAGTAGGGTTTCCAAGGAGCACCTGGTGGATTCAAACTGCCTACCTTTTGGTTAGCAGCTGTATCTCTTAACCACTACTCTACCAGGGGTTTCCAATCTGACAAAGGTCTTATATACAGATGGTGAATATCTTTTCTCCTTTGGGGCTTGCTCATTCATTTTCTTAGCTATGGCTTTTGATGAGCAGAGGTTTTACTTTTGAGAAGTATAGATGATCATTTTTCCTTTTATGGTTAATGCTCCGTGTCTCCTCTCTGAAAAATATTTGCTATCCCAAGGTCACAAAGACACTCTCCCGTATTTTCTTCTAGTAGTTCTATCGTTTTAGCTTTTACATCTGTGACCCATCTCAAATTAATTTTTAACTTTGGTGGAAGATGAGGGTCAAGGTTTACCCCCTCCACAGCTGATGCGTCCAGTTGTTCCAGAACCATTTGTTGAAAATACTTTCCTTTTCCTCATTAAATTGCTTCAATACCCTTGCTGAAATTATTTGACCTTATTATATGCGAGTCTGTTTCTGGGTTCTATACTATTTCATGGATCTGCTTGTCTATCCTTATACGAATACCAAGCTTTGTTCATTACTGCGGCTTTGTAGTAATTCTGGAGGTCAGGTACTGTTGTCCCCTAACTTGGTTCTTTTTCAAGATTGTTTTGGCTATTCTAAGTTTCTTGTATTTCGTTATAAATGTTGTAATCAATTTGTCAATTTCTATAAAAAAAATTAAAAAAAAGCCTGCTAGGATTTTCACTGGGATTCCAATGATTTTTTTGAAAAATTTGAGAAGAATTGACATTTTAACAATGTTGAGTCATCCAATCCATGAGCATGCTGCCTCTCTCCACTTATCTAGGTCATTTTAAATTCCTCTTACCAGTGTGTTACTGTTTATTTGTAAAAGTCTTGTGGATCTTTTGCTTAGTTTATTCTTAAGTGTTTTATGTTTGCGCATGCTAGTGTTAATAGATTGCTTTTTAAATTTTACTTTCCATTTGTTCATTGCTGATGTATAGAAATGCAACTCATTTTTGTTCATTGATTTTATTTATTGTGCCATTGCTAAATTCACTTATTATTTTTAGTAGCTGTTTTGTAGGTTCCCTAGAATTCTCTATGCATACAGTCATGTCCTCTATGAGAAATGACAGTTTACTCTTGGGCATTCTGTATGCCTTTGATTTCTTTTCTTCTGGCATTGCCCTGGCTGATATCTCCCATAGAATGTCGAATAGAAGAGATAAGAGAAGATCTTAGGGGGAAAACATTTTGTGTTTCACTGTTTGCTGTAGGTTTTTCATAGATACCCCTTATCAGGCTGAGGAAATTCTCTTCTACTCCTGATTTGCTGAGTTTTTTAGTGAATCATGTTGAATTCTGTAAAATGCTTTTTCTGCATCTATATTGATAGGATCATATTATATTTCTCCTTAAATCTGTTAATGTGGCAGTTAACATTTATTTATTTATTGTATGTTTAGCTAACTTTGCACCCCTGGGATAAATCCTACTTGGCTGTGGTGTATTTATCCTTTATATATTGCTGCATGCATTCATTTTGCCAATATGTTGTTAGTGTTTTCAATAGCATGGGTTTTAAAGATGATTGCCTTGGTTTAAGATGCAGTCCTGTTGGGAAATTCTTTCAGATTCCTTTAGTTTCTGTTTTTGAGCTAATTTGAACATTATTTATTTTAATCAAGCATAAGGATTCTTTGTGCATTAAATATAATTTAAAATGTATGTCTGTGTATATTTTAAATGACCAATATGAACTCTTAAACCACCTGAGATATTTGTTGGAGTGTCAACCTTTTCTTTTCACTGAAATGTGAGAGGTTTTATTTTTTCTTTGTGACTTTCTTTTCCCTAAGTATTACTATTCAATAAAAGACATTTCCATCGGAGGGATGTGTATTTGCTATGGCCACGCCAGTAGCTGTCCATGGGATGAAGCTACAAAGGTGAGTTCTAGTGTTTTACATTTTACTAAAGCTTCAAAATAGAAGTTTGGCTGTAGTGCTTACATTACTCTTTTTAAAAAATTTATTCAGGGAAAATGTTGAAAGGTAGAAAATCAAGATGCAAAAAAAAAAAAAAGCTTTCAAACAATTTAACTGATGTCATTTTTTAGGAATTTCATTTGCTTTGTTTTCAGCGGGTATTTCTAATTAAATCCCCATTATAAATGTTGAAGCTCTTCTGTCTATAAGACCGTCAAGCACAAAACCATGTGCAGTTATAAATTATATTTAGATTTTTTTCAAAGAGTATTTCCCTTCTCTCATTTTTTCTTTCTTCCATTTTTGTGATATTAAATCAAGATAAAATAAAGTTTATTTGTTTTAATATGATGTTAATTGTCAGTATGACACACATACCCCCCTCCTTCTTTTAAACAACCCACGCTACTTTTTGGGCTTTTCCCCCAATTTTTGGCACTATCCCCTTATTGATGCTGAAACATATCTAGGTGAACATCAAGAAAATTATTAATGGGAGCTTCCAAACCCTGAGAGTCAATGCACCTTTTTAAAAAATTATAAATTAATCCATATTTTTGTTTTGCTTTATTTCCCCTCACTTCTGTTTGTACATAGTTTGTATGTATATATTTTTTCTCTAAAAATTAAATGCCTTTTGCATTGATATTGCCATGTAGCCTCAATTGTGAAGTCTTGCCACCTAATTAACTGCGATAGGTTCTGTTTTAAATAACTCAAAGAAAAATATGCAGGTAAAGAGGTAAGGTTTTTGATTAACTGTTGTGTTCCTGTCTGTTCAGAAACTACAGTGCCAATGTGAACATAATACCTGTGGGGAGAGTTGCAGTAAGTGTTGTCCTGGATACCATCAGCAGCCCTGGAGACCTGGGACCATTTCTTCTGGTAACACATGTGAAGGTAAATATGAATAGAATTTGGAGAATGTAAGTTTGTTTTTTCTCCCCTCTTAATATGTTTAAGTTTACAGTGACTTAACAACTTTTGTAATGAGGAGATAACTTGTTTTCTCAAAAATTCAAACAGTTCCTAAAGCTGCTGAGTACTTTGTAAAGTTTAAACTAGTGAGGTTTAATTATGTATTTATAGATTTGCTATTTTATCTATTTACAGAGTTTGCTATTAAGGTGATATGAAACGCTGTTTCTAGCAACAGTTGTACAGAATTCCATTTTTTGGATATAATATAATTTATTTAAACAGTTCCCTAGCAATGGATATTTTGTTTGTTATTAATCTTTTGTTTACAAAATAGTGTAATGTCATTTACAAGTGTGTAAGTATTTCTGCAAGATACAATCACAGAAGAGGGTTGCTGAATCAAATGAGAGTCCACCGTTATAACTTTGATAGCTATTCCTAGTCACCCTCTGTAAGATTGTCCATATCCTATTGAAATGATTTATTCTAGAATTTTAATTTAATTCATAGTCAAAGAAATTTACTTAGGGAGGGCAGGCCTTTCTCTATATAGGACATCATATGCATGTTAATTGAGATGTTACGATATTCTCCTAGAGTGTAATTGTCACAACAAAGCCAAGGACTGTTACTATGATGAAAGTGTTGCACATCAGAAGAGAAGTTTGAATACTGCTGGACAGTTCCAAGGAGGAGGAGTTTGTATCAACTGCCGACAGAACACCATGGGGATCAACTGTGAAACCTGCATCGATGGGTATTATAGACCACACAAAGTAAGAGCGTTTCTCAACCATCACTGAGCTTCCTCTTCTTCCCGGATGTGAAAATGATACTTGGCCAACTCTCAGCCTCAGGATTAGAGACTCATTTCCTTTTGTAACATTTCATTTATATTCTTATGCTAATGTTCATCAGATCTATTTCTTGTTCTATCTGCCCTATTTTCTTGCTCAAAGTGTGACCTTCACTCATGATTTAACATGAATTCTTGGACACATTAACTATGTAACTCAGGTTTTTGTAATACTAACTGTGGACATGAACATTCAATCAATCACTAAAGCAGTGCTTAGTAAATCCTCAATTAAACTGATATGTAGTTGTTACATGGGCACCTGTGCTCGCCTGATTATAAAACAGTTGTCATTGAGTTGATTCCAACTCATGGCGCCTCCATTTGTGTCAGAGTAGAACTGTGCTCCAGAGAGTTTTCAAAGGTTAATTTTTCAGAAGTAGATTGTCAGGCCTTTCTTGTGAAGCACCTTTGGGTAGGCTTGAACCTCCAAGCTTTCAGTCAGCAGCTGGGTGTGTTAACTAATTGCACCACCTGGGAGCTTCTGGTCTGATTATAGGTGATGTTTAAAATCAGGCTCCGACAGATAGCAGAGAAAGGGGGGTCAGTAGCAGTGGTAATGGGAAAGGATGACACTTTGCTAATGCTGCTAACAGCTGTCACCACCAAAGAGGTGTTTGAGGCTCCCTGGGTGAAGATCACCTTGTCTTCCTGAAAGCTACACCCCTCAGTACACAAAATCATTGTAATGATCGCATCTTGGGTAAAAAACAGATGCCTTGTCATTAATATTATTTTGATATTATTGCTGATATTGCTGTTATTTCTAGTCAAATAACCCAGGACAACCTCTGCCTTTTAGGTTTCACCTTATGAGGATGACCCTTGTCGTCCCTGTGACTGTGACCCCGTGGGGTCCCTCAGTTCCATCTGTGTTAAGGATGACCTCCATTCTGACTTACACAGTGGTAAGTACTTGACTCACTCTTATGCTGTTAAGTGATTTTAGGGAGAAAGATTTGGACCTAGTGGGCATATTACCATTTTGTAGTAATTTAGTGATATGAATTTTGTTGATTCTTTTGTTCACCAACATTTACCGGGTACCTACTATATGTCAGGCAGTTTTCTAGGACCTAGGAGTCAGAAGTATAACTGAGGTCCGGTAGGTAGGCACATGCCCTGTGCGCCACTTGAGGAGGGGGCGCTAACCAACAGCTTCTATTGGCCATCACAGTTCCATCGCCAGCTGTGAGAGATCATTCAGCGATTTAAAATAATTGCCATAGGTGCTATTTTCTATAGCTAGGCCCCCACTAGGAATCTGGACTTGGAACAAGATAATGCGATTCCCTGCTCATAGTCCAGCACTAAACCAACAAGACCAT